TAAATTTAGCTCAAAAGTATAGGTAGTGGTAAGCACGGGCCGTGCTACAGTGGTCTGTAGGCATCTGCTCCAAGAATCAGCATGCCACTTTGGACTGATCAGGGTCTGTGTGATAGGGCAACTTCAAGTTGAGGTTCCGCAAAACCAATTTGCAGAATTATTTAAAGTGAGCCCTACTACCATCTTCAAATTGAAGGCCAAGTTCCATTTAACAGGGGGGATGTCGGACACAAGACGACACCCCAAGAAGATTGCTTCCTCACCCTGTTGGCATGTAGGCTGTAAAATCAGTTAGTTATCATCACTTAAAGGGGAAATATCATGTAAAATCAACCTTTTTGAGTTTTATATCATGTTATAATGTTATGCTCTCATAAAAAAAAACATGCCCAAAGCCTTGCTCTGACTCATTCATGCATGTTTGAGAAATCCTGCAGTGTTTTTAGGAAGCCATGCTGAGGAGCAAAACGACAGGTGGGGACCAGAAACGACTTTTGGGACCAGAAACACCCCTGGGACGTGTCTTTAAGCTGAGCTTCCTCACGGCAGAGCGCACCCCATCCCCTCCCCACACAGCCTGCCCATGACTCCTGCTGGCTCTCGGCAGTAACAAAGCAAATGAGGGAAAGTGAAAGTGAAACTTAAAACTGTGCTGCTCTCAGCTCGCTCAGTGAAGCTCTTGTCAGATTCAAAATACCTTTGAGGAAATGTATTTTCAGATGCCAAGTAAACTGCATCATAGCGATTGCGACCACCCCGCTCCACAACTCCGCAGGCTACGTGAGAAGGGGTTATCTGCGGAATCAAAGTGGGCGTGTCACAAGAGTGGGTGTGTCTAAATCATAAACACTGTGGGCTACGAGGCCTACATGACAGTATCCTTAGATCCTGCTTGACCTCTATACAGCCTTATCCTGACCCCAACACTAAGGTTAACCAGGAGAAATGTGACCCAAGCAGGGGTCTCCAGAAAAAGTGGTGCCATACAGTAATGCCCCTTTTGTTCTTGTCCAATCAGGTGGTGCCGTACGGCATCGCCCCTTTTTTGCTTGTCCAGTCAGGTGTGTCCCTTTAACAAAGTCCGTCAAATCAGGTGTGTCGCTTTAGAATTGCCTTTTGTTGTGACACGCCCACTCGTCCGCAGAGACCTTTACTTGGGCTATGTGCTGAAATGGGCGTGACCGAAGTGGTTGGATTTTCTTAAAGAGACAGAGACCTATTTCAAGGTGTTTAAAAAACTGTCAAGATGAGAAGTAAATTGTTTTGGGGATTTTTACAAATATATAGCTCTTTCATAAGCTGAAAATGTGATATAGTTACTTTCTTTTAGTATAAAATTGGAATATAGGCTTGGAAAGCACATAATATTGCCCCTTTAAAAAAATCATGTAAACCAATTGCACTTAAAAATTGAGTACACTGAACTAGTGAATAAATACTGAGTGCAATCAGTTTACAAGCTTTTTTAAAGTAATGTTAACTAACTGATTTTACAGTGTAGGCTGTCTTCTACAGATTTATAGTCAAGGAGGTGCCAGGCTGTTGTGGCTGTGTATGGTTCTTCCACACACTAACTGGGGCTCTTGTTTATTAAATTGCCAATATGTCTTTTTTTTTTTTAAATTTCAATCTTCCAGGCCAACAAACACCAAACACTTCAATGGAAGAATAAGTTATTTAGCAGTTAGGATTTGGAAAATATTTCATACGTGCATCCCACATACTCAGCTCTTCTGCTCATCCCACAAATGCATGTTCCTTACAAATGTGGCACCATTTAAAAGGAAATTTAACAGGCTTTTCAATGGTGTAAGATATATTGCCACGAAGCATTTTTACAACAAAGAAATAACCTACCAAAACACAAATTTCCTTTACATCAGCTTATACATCGATACACACAAGGACAGAGACACCTTTAAATTCAGCCTGCAGACAGCGCGTTAAGAAAACATGACAAATACCGAGTGTAACGAGATTTTGTGCTACAAGAGTGGCGGTATTAGAGTGTCGCCACACTGATTTTACGCAAAAATTTACAGATTTTAATGGTTGCATCGACCATTTCAAGACTAGTTGGAAAAAATACACTCAGGGTAATGGATGATTGATGAAGTACAAAAGAAAAAAAAATGGAGCAGAAAAGGCATTAGAGGACAGAATTAAATTGAGGGAAGCGAGTGCTCAGAGGTCATAGACATCAACTCGAACCTAATGGGAGAAGATGGCTTCGCTCGTGATAAAAGTGTTGGGAACAATAAGCCCTTTGTGCTGTAAAATGAATGACGTTTGGCCTCCAGGGGGCTGGATGTTCTGATAAAATCAAGTGTCCTTTGTATTAGACGGAACAAAAAGCAGCTGAGGGAAAAAAGGTTGGAAACATGTAGGAGCTTTGACCCTGTGAGTAGAACTTCTTTCCTGCTAATAATTATTTACAGTTTACCAGAGGCTGAGCTTTATTTATCAGCTTCAGGTCCAGCGAGAACGGTTCTTTCCTTTTTGTAAATTAGTTTGCCATCTTTGAGGCTAAATTTTCATTTCCACCATTATGAAAAATGTTGATAAAGTTCTAAAGCATTGTCTAATCACAAAACATTTTAATTACAAAGAGCCTGTGTTTACACAAAGACTTCTTAATGCAAAAGCTTTAAGGATTATCACTAAATACGGTTTGACGAACAACAATAGAGAGCCAAATTATTAGAAACTATTAATTTAGTGATCAAATTTGTTTATTTAAATTGCTATCAGAGATTACAGGGTGGCTGTGTTTTCTAAATAAACACGCTATAATTAACTGAAGTTCTCCTCCAGCAATAGAACTGGGAACAGGACAAATAAGTTATATCTTTCAGGAGGAAAAACAAACCAATGAGACTTAATTATAGAAAATAAGCACTTCCTAATCTCATTTTGACTGTAATAATGTATGCCTTTTACCTTTATTTAGTTTTTCTATTATTATAATAAGGATTTAAGTGTGAATTAGAAATAGTTCTAGGGGTCAGACAGTGATACCATGCTGAGGATCTTAACATAAGAATAATAAAAAAAACTCATATATTTTAAAACAGTTGTTAATAGTGTATTTTATAACAATTAAAGTAAGATGTTTTGAAATGACAGAGTTTCAGCAATTCTAGTCAAACTTTAATATAATAATAATAATAATAATAATAATAATAATAATAAACCCTTAGGGAGGGAGAATAATTTTCCCATCTGATTCAGAATAATTTATCTCCAAACGACAACTACCGGTAATTTAACCGAAGTTTTTGTGGTTCAGTTCCCATTCCACGACTGAAACAGTGAATGACAGTTACCACACATTACTAACCTCTTGGGTAATTTTTGGAATCTCACTGCCAATTTACAAACATACCAAATTAAAGTTTATAGTTTTGTCTTTGCTATTGTTTTTTATTTTTAGAAACCAGGTTGTCCAAATAAAAGAGTTATGGTTCATTTGAATCAGAATATCAGAAGTCTACCTCAACATTCAGTGACAGCAATGAGGAACACCTGTTCATGTTAACGAGCAGCTGTGGAGCGAAGCAGTTCTGGGCGGGGTGGGGGTGGGGGGGGGGGGTCCAGTCCAGGGCTGCATCCTCCAAAGGCTGAATTTGTCGGCCGCTTAAGTCACAGCGCCATAATGGAGGCTGTCCAAATTTGAAGACTTCTTTGATGCGGCCCACAAATGCATCCTCTTTTTTTCCCTGATTTGAGGGACAGGTCCAGTGGATCCTTCTTGGCTCATGTTGCATTGCGGAGTGAACGGGGATTTTTTTTTTTTTTTTTTGCTTGTATTGCATTGTTTTTAACCAGTGGTTATTCCAGACTAAATCAACTATATAGATCAAAAATATATTTTCATACCCAATTTGTGGCGCCACTTGGAAGGTCGGCAATCCTTTTAGCACATCAGTTTTATATTTTGTACTCACAAATCATAGGATGATCCTTGATTTTTTTTTTTTTTTTTTTGCTTGTATTGCATTGTTTTTAACCAGTGGTTATTCTTCAGACTAAATCAACTATATAGATCAAAAATATATTTTCATACCCAATTTGTGGCGCCACTTGGAAGGTCGGCAATCCTGGTCCTCGAGGGCCGCAGCCTTGCGTGTTTTAAGTTTTTCCCTGCTCTGACACACCTGATTCAGTCATTGGATTATCTCTTCTTAGTTCTGCAGAAGCCTGATACTGTAATCACTCATTCATTCAGATCAAGTTGGAGCAGAAAAACATGGAGCTGCGGCCACCGTGGACCAGGATTGCCTTAGATTGACAACGCCCTTCGGATTTGCCTGTAGTCTGCCCCACAGGCCAGCCCTGCATGTTAAATGAATTATGTTGTAAAAACTGGCTTCACTTTTGCAAAATCTACAGGCAGGGAATTCCCACTCAAGACATGAGCAGCTGTTGCTGTCATACAGTAAGGTACAAGGAAGTACTATGTATATATATATATATACTGTATATATATA